CATGTCTCTGAACCTCAGTCCCCTTATCTGTAAGAAGGGGAAAGCATGCTACTTCACAGTGTGGTCTGGAGATCCAACACCAAATGAGATACACTTGAGGAAAGAAGTTATTTCTGCCTTATAAATCTCCCAGGAGGAGTTTTAGGGAATAACTGACAAATCCCTGTTTTCTTCACTCATGACTCAAGTGTCTCGCCTCCTTAGACAGATCTGTGCTCCCACAGGACTGTGTGCATAGCTCTGTTTAATATTCTTTTTGAGACAGAAATACCTCCTTAAAGGTACTCTTGGGAAATTTATCAGCTGGGTGCTGATGACGCTCTGTCGAGTTCACACATCTGGGCCCATTGTTCCCTCACTCAACTCAGGGGCAGAAAGTGGGCCTGTGTCTTAGGTCTGTATCCTCCTGCTCAGTGTCTTGACTTACACTGGCCATTTGTGCAATAGTTCAATTTTAACCAAACTGGAATGAATGTACTACAGCTTTAAGAGGCGGGCAATGTAGAATCCACATTGTCATCTCTATTCTCTATAAAAAAGAACACAGGTTCATTGGCTTTCCCAGATCAACAGCAAGTAGTGAATCTATAGAAAGTCATGTCCACTGACTCCAAATCCCCTAAATTTGTCACTCTCCACACCTCAGCTAAAAGGTAGCCAAAAGAAGGAGGCTACCCAACAGCCGGAGCTCTAGGTCAGGTAGGAGGACTGAAATAGTACCTGGTGTCCTTCGAGGCTTCCCAAAAGCTGAGTTGTGTCCTCACAAGAAGGTTTGCATCTTGTCTACTCTTTGGCACTGAAGATTGTTTCTGCTGTTGACATTGATCACACTGTAAGTAACCAGTCTCTGGAAAGTGCTCCATTTGGCTGCCAGCCCTGTCTAAAACTCCTTATCCACTAAGAGCATCAGCTTCTTCCCTGAAACCGTCACCCTCTGGAGAAGGGTCAGTGATCAGGAGCAGAGGAGCTGGCTGTGCAGGAACCTACTAAACACCACAGAGCCCACGGAGGCCACTTTAGTAAAAGCCACCAGGGACTTCAAATACAGCAACAGACCATGGGGAACCTTCCCTGTGACAAGAGATTTTGTTGCCAACATGGTCTTAGCCAGTCACAACAAGGAGGATGCTGGTCCATGCCTGTGTTCCTGGGGTGCTATTCTAGGCCCTGGGCTTGGACAGCTTAGTGTGCAGCCCTCAAAGATGCAGCTGGGTAGCTGGGCAATGCCTTGATCTGCTTAAGGAACAAGGGGCAAGGCTCAGCCCTGTGAGCTCTAGACCCACATCAGTGGCTCAGACTATCCCAGACTAGTGAAAACTGACTCTGGCTCTGGCCCTTTGACGATCCACTTGTACATTACCTGGGAAATGTCTCTTCCTAATGGGGAAGGTTCCCTGGGGAATTCAGACATGCTCAGTGAGACTGAGACCATATCTGAGTAGGTGCTCCCATAGGCAGCCCCAAGAGATGCTCTTAGCTGCCCCTTCCCAACCTGCATCCTGCAGTGGGCTGCAGACAAGAAATATTTTGCCCTCAAATGTGTCCATAAACTATGGGCCACTCATATGGACCTACCTGCGTGCTGATTCTGTTTGGTTCTGGTTTTCCTGTCTACTCCAAGGGTCTTCATGCTCTCTCTTTCTAGAGACTGGATGGGTTAATATATAGAAGAAAACAGATGGAGCTGAGAGATCAGTGCTTAGCAGAGGCCGGGCGAAGCCAGGCTTGGGGGTGTGTGGCTCATGAGTTGGGTGGAGAACTAACTCCCTCCCTCTTGGGCTCCTGGAGGGAGGCCAACACTGGTCAGGAGAGCAGCTGGTGGGAGACACAGCTCAGTGGGGTTTGGAGCCCATGGAAGCACAGAGTTGGGCTATGCTGGTTGGGTTTGGGTTTCTTTCAGTCTCCCTAGCGCTATTCCAGCCACAGAGGGGCCGAGTATAGACTGGAGGCTGCAGATTAGAGGTCTGTGGACCAGGTTTGGCCTGAAGGTGTGTATCATGTGGGTCACACAGTATTTTTTTTTATTTAAATTAGTTGCCAACGTCTTTAAAAAAGAAAGACATCTTAAATCTGGATTTCTAGCTTCTTGCAAAAAATGGGAATATCTAGCAACACTGGGCCTACATGGGCAGTTAGCTAGAGTTGGTAGTGGCTGCCTCCTTTAGACAGCAGGCCTTCAGTGTACAGCGTCAGCAGGAGCAGCACACCCGAGGGAAGCAGTATCAATGGGCAGTCAGAAAGTCCTACGTTGAGACAGTGAAAGGACCTCTTCAGAGCTCCTCGAGCCTTTGAACAGGAGGCCAGGATTTTCTCAGGGCAAAAATGGTCTCTGAGAGCTGGTGGAAAGAAGCAATCCTTTGCCTCCATTTTCTGCCTCAAGGTCATGAGTCATTTTTACTCCCACCACGAGAAGCCAAGAGCCCTCAAGTCCAGGATATCACAGTGAAACCAGGCAAGTCTCTGCCTGCCCCCAGTTCAGAGGACACATACGTAATCCAAGCCACAGATAGCATCGCATGGACGCCGTGGTGCAAGAATTAAGTGTTTTTTCAAACATCATCAAGAAGATTTCAGGAAAGTATTAACATGGACAGCAGAAACATTCAACTTGGGATTTGGAGCTGGGAACCCAAAGATCTCAGGCTCAGACACCACCAAGCCCAGTAAACACATGAGTGGGAGCTGAGGATCAAATGCATCCTATGACATGATCTCTGAATTTGCCAAGACAGGAGTATTCCCCATGCCTTTCATTTTACCCGTGAAAGACTGAGAGAACACAGTGAAAGTTATGGGCATAAAAACAACTTGGTTAAGTTTAAGAAGATCTTTAAACTCCAGAGGTGGCAAATAAGAGCTACCACATTGCAAGATATACCAAGCCAAGGCATCCACCTCTATGGTACATGCAAACCACATGCCCGCTACCTCACCCAAAGCACATAAGAAAGAAGATTGAGAATAAACAAGATATAAAGGGTAACTGAGCTTAAGATTTTTTCAAAAGTCTAAAATCCAGTCCAAGGGATAATGCTCAGAAGGACAACACAGCCTCCCCCAGGTGGTGCTGGGAACCAACATCAGACTCCTTGGCACAGAGACTCTGAAAAGAGAGTGGAAACACTGCCATGGAGATGGGTCCAGGGCAGTCCCGGAAAAGCAGTCATGGTGGGTGGTCAGAGAACTCAGCACTACAACGCAGCCATTCTCTGACCTCTGATGACACGGTCACTCGCCAGGCACTGTCTTCCTGAAACATCAACTTTCTGACATTTTTCTGACTTGTTCCCTTCCACATGCAAATTTTCCTGGTCTCTTTCTCAGTTTTCTCGTAACACTCCATCATCTTCCCCCCTCACGCCCACCTCAAAACCACACCTCGTGCAGCCTTTAAAATACAGTCTAGTGGGCGTCCTATGCACTCCAGGTGAAAATGCTCTCCTCCTATTTGAGATTTTTTCCATCAGGCTAATTTCTTTCCTGGGTCTTCAAAAGGAAGATCAACTTTAATAAATAAATAAAAAGACAGACAGACTCAACTTCTATTGCAACTCCAGATTTTCAGGGCATACGATGAGCAAGAGAAATGGCACATGATTTAAATAGAAAATCAAACGGACCCAAGAAAGTGGTAACTTATTATTCAGCAGTGAAAAGATAATGAACTAATAACAGCTTCCGAGCTGTTGGAACTAGTTTTTATAAATATTTGCATAAAAATACTGGCTTACTTTTTTTTTTGTTCTTCAAATGCACTCAAACAAAACTAAGAAACACCTGGAAACTAAGGCATTTATTCTGAGACCAAAGGTCAAATTCAAAGCCTGTGTTCATTACTATTCTGTGGAGAAACAATCTGAATTTTACGTTGGATCACTGCAATAAAAAAAAGTTAGAGCTTGGGGGAAAGATGATAAGAAGTCATCTAATTGGACCCACTCATTTTTAAGGAACTAACTTGTTCCTAAATAGTGAGCACCTTTTCTGTGTCAAGTGCTGTACGAGGTGCTACAGAGCACACACACATCCACTTCAGTCACGGTTTATTTTTCAAAATAGCTGAAAATGCAAGAATGATGCAAGTAAAGGAAACCTATTAATTAGATATATATTAAAATAGATTTCATAAAATAAAATTTCTAATTAGCTTCTCAACAGATTCTAAAAAGACTTTTGATAAAAACTTGACACCCCTCCCTAAAAATTGCAGCTCATTATTTACAATAGGGTAAAATTGTTCAAGAGTAGAAGAGTCAATTATGATTCACTCAAAAAAAAATCTATAAATAAGAGTAAAGACAACTATACAGGAAAATTTAAAAATGAAAAAAACCTCACTCTCTGATGTTAAGCATACAAAATCTGAGGACTAAATTGTACCTCTGGTGTGAATAGAGCTTTGCAAATTATATGTACACATAACAAGGAAGACGGGAAGGAAAGAGCAGAAGACATTTAAGAGATTCTTTTTTTTTTTTTGAATGGTAGGAGAGCAGCTAGTTGTTTTTTCATTTTGATATGTATTAAATTATATTAAAATATTATTATGTAATAAGTTTTATCAAAGAAAATTACACAGAGTCAGAGGGGAAGAGTGAGAGGGAAGAAAGGGGCACAAAATAAGCTGATTGACTTTCTAAAACCCCAGATGCCACCCACAGTCAAACTGTGGTTCATGTGAGAAGATGAGGGTGACAGCGCCAGCAGAGCGCTCCTTCTCTGAGCCAGGCCTAGAGAAAGTGCCACCTGGGAATCTGTCTAACCAGCCCAACAGGTTATTCATCTCAGGTCTCAGGCCAGCCCTTCCCCACCCTCCCTGCTCTGTAACTCTCAATGTTCAGGCTGGTTTCACCTGCTGTATAAACAACACAGTGAGCAGTCAATCCTACCCCCAGGCGGAATGCGAAAGTAAGCAGTGAGAGCTGCCCTGGACGCAGAAACGGGCTTTAACGTATGAGCTGCTGTAGAACCCAAGGACCTGCAGCCCCACCAGGCCTTACCTGTTGAAGCATCTCTTCAGCAGCATTGAGTTTCACCTGGTGTCCTTCCAGACACACTTCCAGGTCCCGAATTTTCTCTCCTTGGGCTTCCACTTGGTCTGTGAGGACACTCACCTGTTCCAGGAAATAAAGCAATGGTGGAGGAGCAGGAATGGCTCCCCGCTGGAGGTGAGCCGTGAAACCACACCACTGATTCTCATAGAAGAAGAATGGCTTTTCTTTTTGGTGGGTAGCAGGTAGGGAAAGAGTCCTGGATGAAGGAAACTCCAGTTGTTTTCTTACCTTGCCAGGGAGTCTCAGTCACCGCCTTAATGACGTTGGTCACATTTCCTGCTCTTGACAGACTCAAGAGAAAAACACCCAACAGCCATGAGAGCTGCCTCCGGGCTGGACTCTTGCTCCTTATTCCTCTTCTACAGCTCAGTCAGGCAGCCCCGACCTCAAGGCATACCTCAGCTGGCTTGCCAGGGCTTCTGCCACCTCATGTGGAAGAGCAATCCAAACTTCTGTGGAAACTAACCAATGACCTTACCTCTCTCATAAGGCTGTGAGGACTGCTCACCTATCAGGCGAGTGTTCTGAAGCAATTAAGGAATGCGGGACGTAAAGGGCATGTATTAGCACTGACAAAACTTGGCTCCAGAAAGGTTTTTGTGCTTCACAGGCCAAAACATGACTCTAAGTCATAAACATACACAAGCCGCGTTGCACATACAGTGGCAGGAAGAAAGTCATCTTTCTGAAGAACTCTGAGGATATCTATTGGAATTATTAATAAAAATTCATTTACAATGTCATTTAAATTATACCCTAAATATATACTGAGAGGATTATCACAGCCTTCTGTATTAGCGAACTGTCTACGATCCTTTTTCTTTTTCTTTATTAAAGAAAAAGTAGGAAGATGAAGAAAGTAAATGGGTGGCCTCCAAAAAATAAAGAAATCAATGACTGGTAAATTGAGAGTCTCTGGACTCGGTTTTTAACCAATGGTTGAGTCATTGCCATTTAAATATAGATTATCATAAATTTTTTCTCAGTCTATAAAGGAATGATAGCTGGAGCATGAGTTAATATGAACTCAGCTATGAGTGTTTAAATAAACTTTATGAATTATAAAGCTCCCCTTTACAGAGGAACCAACCTAAATTAATATGGCTACTTTAAGCTTTCCATTTTTATGTTCTCATGTGATTAATGAACTATTGAAACATTCCCGGAGTTGATGCATGCTGTGCTAGCATTTCAATTATAATCTGAAAATGGACACCTGTTAACTAGGCCCATCTTGAACACAAACCTTTTATGGTTTTTCATTTTTTATTCCTTGTTGCCCAACACTATCAGCAGTACTAGCCTTTTCAACTACTAACTTTCCTTTCAAAAGGGCAGGATTCCGGGGGCAGCCATTGCTCCCCAGGTTCCCAAGTTTCTGTTTGGGAAGGATGTGTTATGGTTAATCCTATTATGAGGATTAACACTTGCATAGTCTGCACCACGCCTTGGGGCCACGCGCTGGCAGGACCCAGAGCAATAATATGTGATCTCTAGCATTCTATAGCTTGGAGCTCAGCCTGGCCTAAGACTTAAGAAACACAGGGCGGTAAGGTCCTTATGAACCTTGATACTTACCCTAAGCATTATGAATGCAGAGTTGTAGAAAATTGGGACAAAATATTAAAGATCTTAGAATGTGACCTTCATTCAATAAAAACAAATTTTTTGGAGCCTCTAAAATTATGCTCAGCATACAGAAGTATGGGGGGGATACAGAAGTGAAAACAAACCATACGATCCTTGCCTTAAGAAGTTACAGACTAATGATGATATAAAAGATTTTGGTTTTAATTGGTTTTACCAAATCCTGGAAATAAAGTATTTTGTTGTGTGTGATTTCCCTTGTTCTTTCACAAGCAAACCCAGGAAAACATTCTGGGCCAAGGGCTCCAATTAATTCAGTCTAGCTGAGCTGCCTTGTGAATTAAGTAAGAGGTTCTACCACGCTGAGGGTCTGTCTAACCAGCTCCATGGGGCCACCGTGAAATAGCAGTGATCACATGAGAGCAACTCTGAAAGTCTGTCCCCAAGCTCCTGGCAGAAAAGAAACCACTAGGATCCACTTCTGATTTGTCTGATAAATAGCTTCCCAATTGTGTTAGGATTATTTAAATAAGAATTATTCAAGAATTAGGAATTTTAGAAAACAATGAGTCAAAGAAATGATCACATAGGACTTCATTAAATCTCAATCCTCTAAATAGGAATGTTATTTTAGCCAGGAAGTTTCCTGGTTCAAAAGTTTGCAATTTCATACTGCTTGCTGCCAAATTCTAAATTGGACCCTCTTTCATCAATCATGTCATTGGGGTAGAGTTTCAAATTACACATCCCTCAAAATGGCTGCGCTATACTGTGCTGTAGATGTAATCTGGCACCTGCTTCCTCTCTGAAGGCAGTTCCCACCAGGCTTCTTTGAGATCACCAACTCCAGCCACAGGGCCCCTTCCTGTTCTTCCCACAAACCAAGCACACTCCTCCTTCAGGGTGTGTGCTGGACCGACCACCTCCTCTGCCTGGAATGTGCTTCTCCAGGTGTCCATGTGGCTCTCTCCCTAGCATCCTTCAGGTCTCATCCTATGAGGGAGGTCTGCCCTGACTACACAATCCGTATCCTGCTTTATTTCCCTTCATAGTATTTATCGCCGCCTGAAATATTTTGTGTATTGGTTTGTTTATTATCCACACCCACACCCACACAAACGGAAACTAGAGAATAAGGGTTTAGGAAGTTTGCCTGTTTTCTTCACTGCTGCATCCCTAGCACCTAAAACCAGTGTCCACCAAGTTGTAGGCACTCAAATATTTTATGATGAACAAAATCAACAAAGTGAAGCAAAAAAAAAACTAGGATGCAAAATTGTATAATTATATATTTGGTCTGAGCCTAATTATTTAAAATAGGGGCAGGACGGGGAAAAAAAAGGATAGAGAAAAAGGCCAAAATGTTAAACTTTTTTACCTTTTCAAAGTTTCTAAAATTATCATTTATTTCTCTTATAGTCATAAAATGAAGTGAAATGAATAAAAGAAATAAGGTAAAATAGAAGGAAAAAAACAAACACACTGTAGCCTCTTAACTCTAGTGCTAACTCTGGTGCTCGAAAGTTCCAGAACCCTACCTGCCTCCTCCTCCATTCTACTACCAGTCTTGTCCAAAACCCTTCAAGCTTTTTTTTTTTTCCTGCTTTTTCTCCCCAAATCCCCCAATATATAGTTGTATATTTTAGTTGTGGGTCCTTCTAGTTGTATCATGTGGGATGCCGCCTCAACGTGGCCTGCCAAGTGGTGCCATGTCCACACGCAGGATCCAAACCAGCGAAACCCTGGGCTGCCCAAGCGGAGCGTGCGGACTAAACACTCAGCCATGGGGCCGGTCCCCACCCTGCAAGCTTTTTAAGGAGCTAGGATTGGGATGTTAGCCTTACTATTCTCCAAATCGTCAATCACAGTGTCTGATGCATACCAGATATTGATGCTTGACTGATGCAGGTGAGAGCTAACACAGCAAAGAGCCCCTACTTCAGCAAAAGTCCTCCCATAAGAATGCTCAACTTTATGTCCTACCAAGGAATGCAAGTTTTCAGAACTGAAAATGTTCCTTTGACTATCATTCTCCGTGGGAAGTTTTGGAGTTCTTCCCTTCAAAGAAAGGAGTCATCAAAGGCTTATTAGCCCATGTTACCAGCTCCAGGGGATTTGCAAGAGATCAGTCTACATCCAGCTCCAGATGATTTGGGCCTGATCCCATTAGAATCCACCCTTAGGCCTAAATTGCTCATGGTTCTGTTTTATTAGAAGGACACATCTTATCTCCCTTGTAAGACTCCTGGGCTCCTGAAGGACAGGGTCTCATTAATCAGCCTGGCCACAGAGCTTCCAGTGTATAGAAGCAAGAGCTCGGTGTCCATGATAAATAAATGAATGTATTCATGGCTCCCAAAAGCCAAGTCCAGAGTTAAACTGTGCCCCTAGCTGCTTTCTGCTTTGTCTCAGGAAGTCTTTTTAAAAACATATAGTAGGGGCCAGCCCCACGGCTGAGTGGTGAAGTTCGCACATTCTGCCTTGGCAGCCTGGGGTTCACGGGTTCAGATCCTGGGTGCAGACCTACACATCACTTATCAAGCCATGCTATGGTGGCATCCCACATAGAAGAAATAGAATGACTTACAACTAGGATGTACAACTATATACTGGGGCTTTGGGGAAAAACATATACTATGGGAGCAGGATAAATTCAACAGAGAAAACCCCTTGCACTTCCCTCCTATTTAGGGCAGCTACAGAATGGGAGCTAACTGGATAAGCTGGTTCCCACCAAAAAAGACCCACCTGTAATATGAGGGACTCCTTATCTCCTTCTAGACGTGCCAAGCGTTCCTGGTACGTTTCATTACTAGCAGCACCGTGGTGATTTACCTGGGACTAAAGGGAAGAAAAAAAATACACTTAAAAGGTTGGAAAAACATCTTACCAACTTCCAAATGAAGTATGCAATTTGTGAGGATGGTTTCACTGATTATATGTACAAAACCACCCACCTAAACAGGAAACCACAAGATTTCAAAACTACTACAAGGTGGACCAGACCAGATGCCATTGATAGGTGTGTCTTGAAAGTTGGCAAAACCACAAAACCACCCCCTGGATGACCTCACCCTTGGCCAGGAAGGTCTTGATGCAGCTTCAGAACCAGTGGTGCTTGACTTGACTGGACACGTTGGGTCTGGTTTAGCTGGAGGCACAACCTGCCAGAGGTGCCAACAGCAATAAGGGTCTACTCTTTGAGAGACTGGGGAGCGGGTACCATTCACCAAGGATCTATGTGGGAACAACTCCTGCACAGATCTTGGTATCCCCTAACTCTCATGCCAGGGTTCTCCAGAACCAAGGCACAGCTTACAGCACAGAGGCCTGTCAGAACATGGCTCACACATGGAGGGTAGGGGAGGCCACCTGCACAGCCCTTCAGCTACTCACTCGTCCCTTCCAGAAGTGGCCAATTCCACCCCTAGTAAGGGCTCTGGCAGCCAGGCTGGCATGCTGTGTTTCTGCAGAGCTAGAGCTGAGAGAAGCAAGCTGAGAAAGCTGAGATGAAACGTCTTGAGAAGAACCCAAACGACAGCCAGAGGGATCTCAAAGCAGGGGGAAAACACAGGAAATGGAAAGTACCCAGAACTATGGAAAACAGAGGAAAAGGAGAAGATTTAAAATGGCAGGTAAGAGGCAGGATCTTATAACATGTCCTGAGCTGGAGACAGGAGCTGCTGTCACTTTCTGGGTGTGTCTGACCTGGTTGCAGGCATGGAGAAGGGAGGTAGCTGCTAACAGAACTGAGCTGGCCCAACACTACCAACACTCCCTTCTTCCATGCTAAATGGAATGCCCACCATAGACCATCCAGGGACCTGGCAGTCTGAAAAAGTAGACCTTACTGCTAAATGGGGAAGTGACAATCATAATAATCTGAGCTAGTCCAGGGAAACTGATGTTTCAATGTTCATGAAGCAGGTATCTTCCACTCCAAAGGAAAGTCATGATTGTGCAAACAAGGGGGTCAGAGAGGAGCCCAAGCACAGGGGCCCAAGGGTGGTCCCCTTCTCCTGAGTCCATTCCCCACATTCCAACATTTAAGATGGGCTTTCCAACCCCTCCCTATTAAGAAAGGGCACCTCCTTCCTTCCCTTGTCTCACCTCCTCCCCAGTATACTGCCCAGGTGAGGGCGGGTGGCAGAGCCAGTCTTGGTCCCAGCATTCTCCATCCAAACCTGGAGTCTCACTTGTGAGAGAAGCACTGGCTGTTTGTTGAAGGTGCAGGGGGAGGGTGAGCACAATGGCCATTTCCCAGGGTGGCTGTGCCAGGCACAAGCTAGATAGGACACAGCACCTTGCCATACCACTGCCTTTTAATCCAGCCTCTCTCCAGTCTGCATCTTGTTCATTGTTACGGAAGCTCTTTCATACCATAGACAAAGGCCTTAACAATCACAGATGGCTCTTTGTGTTGATGGCAGTTTATAGTTGTTACATTAATTAATATTCCAGTCCTCCCATGGTCAAACTCTGATTAGTATGCGAGGATATAATTATAACCTACATTTTCTCAGAACCTGACAAGAAAAGAGAAGAAAATAATTCTTCTGACCAAAACCTCACGAGGGTGATTTTCAGGGGATAAAGAAGATAGAAAAGGACTCAGGCACCCATGTGAAGCTCTGCATGTCCAAACCCAGTGCCAGAGTCAGCATGTGCATGTGGCACTCAGCACTGGCAGCTGCCACTTCTGCCAGTGAAGCTGAAGAAGAGAAGATCAAAGGGAAAACTCCTTCCACAAGACTCCAGAAAGCCACCACACCAACTGTGCCTCAGTCAAGGAGCGCAGTGTGCTCCTCATTATAATAAAAGATCTACCCACACAACCACCCAGAGAGGTGGCTACTTTTACTAGTTGACCAAAAAAACCCACAAAACTCCAGTAAGAAAGTAAGTTGACATCATAAGCTCAGTTAATACACAAAATGCATGCCATTGAGTCTATAACACATACTAGAAGTAGACTGCAAAATCTGGATCCCCTCTAGCAGCCAATGGAAAAAGGGAAGCACAGTGAAGGAAAAGATGCAGAGATCAGTATGGCAAAATCAACTGCTTGCCTAGGAGAAGCAGAACTCTTCCTATGGAGGGGAAGAACTTCCGTTGTTTTCACAGACTCTGTGTAACAGGATAAACAACATCCATGATGATATCCTCACAGTAAACAGAGCCCAGTAGAACTCACTGCTTTCCTGTGATGCCCTCAAAGTAGGTCAAAGGCTAATGGAGAACCAGAGCCAAGGGCCAAAGCAATTCTATGGAGACCAACTCAATGTGGTCCCAGCACAGTGCTGTAAATACACAGCAAGCACTTATGTAGCACTCACATGTGCCAGGCACTATTTAGAGCACTTCACATGCATTAACTCATTTAATGTTTCCCACAATCCCATTAGATGGGTACTATTTTTATTACCATTTTACAGATAAAGGAACTGAGGCACAAAGTGTATGAACAAGGTACAAATGGATAATTTGCGCAAGTTTTGTTGTTAATGCCGAGTCGATTCTGACTCCCAGTGATCCTGTGTATAGCAGCTCAGAACCCTGCCCAGCATTTTTGTACCATCCTCTCACCATCTGGCACTGTATGAGACAATGCTCCACTGTCATTCATAGGGCTTTCATGGCCATTTTTTTTCAGAAGTGTCCAGGTCCTTCTTCCTAGTCTGTCTTAGTCTGGAAATTCTGCTGAAACCTGCCCACCATGAGGGACCCCACTGGTATTTGAAATACTGGTGGGATAGCTTTCAGCATCACGGCAACACACAGCCACCACAGTATGACAGCCGACAGACAGGTGGTGTGGTTCCCTCACCGGGAAGGGAGCCAAGGCCGCAGCAGTGAGAGCACCAAATATTAACCACTAGACCACCTTGCCCAAGTTACTGTGTACTAAATTAGTAAACTCTGTGTTGTTATAACTTAATTGAGGAGCAGATCAGTACAAATTTTGTTTTATATATTGGGATTGTATGAAAATTCACTTAAAATAAGGTTTGAAACCGCTGTCTGAACCTCAGTGTCCATTAACAGAGGAGTGGCTAAATAAACTACGGTTCATCAATACTATGGACAATTTGTAGCATTTTAAAACATGGGGTAGATATTTATGGACCATCACAGAAATAATAGGCATCCTGGATAGTGATAACAGCCAGATCCAAAGAATCATACGGGGCGATAACAGAAAACAAAACTCTACAACTCCATAGGTATTGATAAAAGTATGAGAATAAATAGATCCAGTGTCTG